ACTCTTAAAAAATTATATTGGCCCCTTTTATCTTTGGTTATACTTTCCTTTGGGGTGTTTAAGGCCATAGAGTTGGCTCCAGATAAACCAACTTATTTTTACTCTTAAAGTCGTTTGAAGATCTTTTCCTCAGGGGTCACATGGGCTTGGAAGGAGCCCCTGGCTCCTTTCCTTTACCAGTTCCACCTATGTGAAGATAGGTCAAAGGCCCTGTTCAACCATGGCTGGCTTTGCTTGGAAGCATGGAGGACATGATTCCTCTGTGTTGATCCTCCTCTTTGTAGACTGGACAATGGTTCAAGTCCATCTCATGGGGTCTCCTCGGCCTCCTTGATCAAGAGGACAGGTGACCTACCACAATTACAGGACATTTTGGGAGATGTTCATAGTTCCCTGGAACTAGTCAACCTAGAAGGGCAAGAAACAAGAACTGTCCTTTATGTCCCTCTAACCAAATTAGTATAGGCCTCAAAGTATGTCTGCTAAACATCCACGAAGGTTAATTCCACCAGTCTGGTACTTTTAATTACTGTGTGCCATGTAGATAAATCTTGGGCAAAGACCAATTGTTCTCAGATAAACCTTACCTACACATATATTGTGTGATCTGGTATGTATAATTTCTCAGTAGGTTATTGGAGTAATATGGTTCCCTCTGGTTTTTAAAACTAGTTACGCATTATTTATCTCTCACATTGTCTCACCCCTCCGTCATGGTTTCCCGACTTAAGACACCCCCCTTTTCCCCTTTCTCCCTTACTAATACCCTTCTCCTATGGTCCTACCTCTCTTGAGCTCCTTCTTTCCCTTTATCCCCTAGGTTCCTTGTATACCAATCCCTCCCCCCTCCCTTAAACTAACCCAAGTTTTATCCATATCTTCCTTATTAATGTCTGTTCCCTACTGTTCTTCTATTTACCTGCAACTTTCAGGTTCTTTCTTTTCCTTTACCTCCCTGTTTCCTTTCCATTATCCTGGTTACTGTAGTTATATCTGGATACATACTCACTCAGGATTTGGTTCTTGGATCCATGAGGGAGAACATGCGTCATTTTTGTTGTTGTTGTTTTGTTTTGTTTTCAACATTGGAAATCAAACTGGAATCAAAGGCCTTGTGCATACCACGGAAGTAAGTGCCCTACCACAGTCTCTTATTGTT